GCGCCGCAACCCCAGAGTCAGCCACGACTGGACCTAATGGTCAGGGGTCCCTTTACCTTTACCTAGGCTCTGCCTCTGGCTTTTCTATTGGTCTACCTATTAACTCTCTCCCCCCTGTACAGACATTTCTAAAAGAATGGGCAAACGCCACAGCGGGGTATTAAGATTGTTCTGTCAATGTCTCTAGCAAGAGTCTTTGGAAGCATGCAAACAACCCTTCTTGATAAATTATTTGAGAGAAAGGATTTGAGAGAGGGAGGGAGAGACTGAGTAGGCCTTATCAGGTCAGGTGGAGGCAGTGAGAGGCATTCATGGACTTGAAACAGTGTGGATAATATCTTGGATAAGGAAGAAAGATCTCTTGCCACTGAACAAAGTGAAGAAATTAATCCTCAGTATTAGAGATGGTGCTTATGTCAAAGATTCTTCTTGCTTTGATGCCATATATATATATATATATATATATATATATATATATATATATACTCTCCTTAATCTCACCTCTTATGATTGAATGATAAAGCTAAATCCACTCCAGTTTAAGAGCTCAGCTGACTTGCTTGGAAAGGAAGTATTTGCTGAAAAAATACTGTCTCCATCATGTTAATCCTTAGTCTGGGTTCATGGACGCATGCATGAATCAGGAAGAGTGCACCAGGAGAGGGCATTGCCATTCACCATTGGTCTCTACCCCTCCCACTAATTTAGCCCTCATCCTAAAGCAAGGGTGGAAGATTGGGCCCTCCAAACGCCTCTATTCAGTCCTTTTGACTCTCTCCAGGCTACATTCTTCTCCCTAGGTTGCTCCCACTCACTGTTCTGAGCCTTCAAGATAGCAAGATAGCAGAGGGAGATAGAGAGTATTATTTGCATTTTTTGTAAAATCAGGGGGAATTCAATGAGAATGTATGGAATTTCATGAAAACCTTTTTTAAAAATGCAAAATGGGATGGAAATATGGTGATTGAATTCAAGGGGGGGGGGATGAGAAACTGAGAAAAAGTGAAATTGACAAATCCATCCATCCCTTTCACTGTTTTAAAGGAAGGTGTAAAAATACCCTGAGACTAGACACCTAAATGTGTGTGTGTGTGTGTGTGTGTGTGTGTGTGTGTGTGTGTCAGAGAGAGACGGAAGGAAGGAAGGAAGGAAGGAAGGAAGGAAGGAAGGAAGGAAGGGATAGCAGTACTGTGCAGTAAGTTTATTTATTGTTTCTGTCCTTCTCTTTCTGTCTGTAACTCTTACTTTAAAGAATGAGAAAGATTGCTAATGGCTGGGTCAGCAGACAACTTCCTTCTGGAGCTCCACTCACCAGTGTCGAAGCAATGATTCTTCAGCACCAACTATGTTGGACTTGTCATGTTGTTCGGATGCCTGATTATCATCTTCTAAAGCAACTACTCTATTCCCAACTTAGGAATGGAAAGGGAAATACTGGTGGACAACAAAAGAGGTTTTAAGCTTCTCTCAAGGCAAATCTAAAAAAAAATGTAGTATAAACACTGACAATTGGGAAACACTGTCCTGCAAGTGCTCCAATCAGAGAACAGCCTTTACCAAAGGTGTCATGGGCTTTCAAGACGCTCAAACTCAGGACGCAAGGGAGAAACGTGCTAAGAGGAAGGCACGCTTGGCAAACCCTCACCATGATCAATTCCCATCCAGAAACCTATGTCCCCACTGTGGAAGGACATGTGGATCCAGAACTGGCCTACACAGTCACTTACGGACTCACTGTTAAAACCGTGTTTATGGAAGACAATCTTACTCGGCTACGAGTGATCACCGAAGAAGAAGAAAAAGATTCCAATGAGGGTTTGCAAGTTTCTAAAGCCTTACACCCACCCCCCTCCAGCAACATAATGCCTTACAGACTTTTGTGTTTTTTGCGTTGTTGTTTTTTGCCAGGGCTGATGAGGATTGTTGTCTAGAACACCAGCAGGACATTAAGTTGGCCAAAGCTGCCTTGTTATATTCCAAAGTTATTCCCAATAATGCATCAAAAGACAAGCACGTTTTGTTTCACTGACTGGAAGGAAGCATTTGAATTCATTGCTCCCATTGACAGAATCTGGATCCCTCTCTCCCCAAATAATTTCTTTCATTTAAGTTCCACATGGAGTTACTTCAAGCGAAGCTCAGCCTGAGTTCCCACTCTGCAGAGCATAAGAGAAAAGTGTGTTTAATTAAGACAGCACATCCTTCTTTGTAGGAAAGCATGGCAAAACTGTGCTTACTGTATGGTACTTGCGTCAGAGATAAAGCACTTTATAAACAGCACAGAAGATCAGAACCACAAACATTTTATAAGACCACAGGACACAGATTACTCTGGTTTCACAAGAGTGGAGAGAGCCATAAAATATTGGAGTGTGGGACATTAGTGAACAACAATGGCTCGTTGAATCCAGAGGTGATTTCTTGGGGCGGGAGAAAGATGGAAGAATCGACGGAGGACAACACAATTCTCAGAGGTCTCTTGTTGATGGCAGCTCATTCATTTTCAATGAGAAACTTTTTTTTTCCACAGTAAAAGCTCAAGGGTGGAAGAAAGTTTATCAAATATGTCAATCAAACTAACAAGTGCCTACCTGGTGAATGGTGAATATTTGCAGAGCTAAGTGCATCGTTTTAAAACTAAGAAATGTGAATGCCTGCATGATGGTGAGGGTGAACTGAAGTCATTTGAGAAATCCAATTAATTCCTAGTTCCTTGGTGGAGAATTCATTAATTCACAGCTGATAACCCAAGAGCATGTGCTGCCAAGCTAACCTCAGCTTGAATCGAGACAGAATTTCAGGACAGACTCTAGAGAGTCAGCGCAGGCAATAACAGACTCCCAGACAGTTGGAATACACCAGGGTATATCAATGTAAAACCTTACCTAATAAAGTACCTTACCTAATAAAGTTGATGGCCTGGTGGAAAGAGTTGTCTGGATTAGGCAGTTCCTAGAAGTCTGCAGAAATATGGGGTAGGGATGCCCCTCATCCCTGGGATACTGCCAGGGAGACAAAAGCCATCATGTCTCCACGTCGATGCCGGACGATCCATCAATCTCCGGTAGAAACGCAGTATCAGTCAATTAGCGACACAAGCCTCGGAAAACAGTTTGCCACATTCCAAGGACTGGTGCACGCCCTTTCAGCAGAGTTCGCACAACGAAAGATGCACCCAGGAGAGCATTATTTACAACTTTATTCAGCGATGGTCAGAACAAAGAAAAACATGCCTGCCTGCCTGCGTGTCCAGGCACAGAGAGAGAACAAAAGCTATATACAAAAGAGAAACTTCCTGTGAACCGGAAGTACGCAGACTGTGACTCAAACAACAGCCTGCTCCCTTTTAAGGAGGAACGGAAATATCCTAACAGGGATGCCCCTCAAAATTCAATCTTTGCAAACTCCAGCATGAAATTAGTTGAATTTCACCTATCCTAAAAAGCAGATAATAATGTATAATGCAATTCAAACCCAAGTTTGACTCAGTTTGGAATAAGTGGATAATGGCCTGTTCTGGCTGAGTCAGGGCTATGCTGCCTTAACACCTGGATCAGATACACTGGCTTAACTCCCTCTGTCTGACTGAGCTTACACTGGCTTAGCCAGGGGTCAGCTGGCAGGACTTCAGCCAGCAGAAATTGTATTGACATAAACCCCGCAAAAAGGGGTGCTTTAGGAGCAGGGCAAGGGAAGACTTAGCCCTACCCCAAATCTGTTCCACTCATGGTCTAGAAACCCAGCAGTTTTACGTGGGCAAAAAGAGTACAATGAATGAAACTTTGTTTTAAAGTCTTGTTTCCTGTGACAAGCTTGAGATGGCTCAACCAACAGCAGTCCTTCTCCTGAATGGAGTTTAGAATAGGACCATCCAGGTCTCCTTTGCTTCTCTGCCTCTATTCCCGGGAAACTAGGAAATGGCTGTAACTTTTTTTTTCTTTTGGCAGAAGTGGGTGAAATTTGCAGGCATGCTTCAAATATCTGAAGCACTGTCACATGGAAGATGGAACAAGAAAATTACAAGAAAGCGGATTCCGACTACACATTAGGAAGAACATTCTTAAAGAGCTGTTCGACAGCGGAATCGACTCCCTTGGAATGTGGCGGACTCTCCTTCAGTAGAGTTTTTGAAACAGAATTTGAATGGTTACCTATCAAGGGATTCTTTAGCATTGATTCCTGCTTGCAGGAGGTTAGACTAGATGGCCCTTGGGGTCCCTTCCAACCGTATAATTCTACAGTACTATGAAATTCTCAGAAGCTTAATTGTGCTTCTCACCAGGCTGTCTTTCCCACCAGCTTCTCTATCATTCCCTTTGAGAAAGCTTGAAGAAATACTTGCTGTTTTCCTAGACAGCTGGGTTCTTTTTAGTATTAAGCATTCCATTTCAGAAGGCGCATCATGCTCACTTGCCACAACCAGCATCTAATTGATGTTTTACTCCGTCATTTGGTTTCTGTGACTGACAGTGAAAGAAATGCCAATTAAAGAACCGTTTTCCTGCTGCTATAGTTAAAAGATGTGTAAATGAAAGGGGGGTGGGGACAGAGTGATGTGACATTTGGCAGAATTATAATATCTAAACCAGAGTATTTTTGGTTTTTGTTTTTTTCTGAAGAACAATTTCTGTCACAGTAAGGTTTTTGAGGAAGTCAGTGAGTCCCTTCTAATTAGCACGTTGATAACAATTATAGCTGGATTTGGAATAACAGCTTTTACTATATTATTATTATTATTATTAACCATCATCACGCTATGCCAGTTGTCACAAGGCAATGTAAAGTATAAAGCAGCACATATCAAATACAAAGCACATTCAATTCAAATTTTAAAACAAAATAAAACAGCCCATTCCTGTGAAAACATCAGTAAAACATTCTACAATTCACACACAAAAGAAACTCTCCTCTTACAATCAGTGAAATTACCAGTGGAGGTCAAATGAGGAACTGCATGTGGAGGTAGAGGCAGGCATATTTAAATACTCAAGAAGTGACATAGCCTACAGCACCCCGTATTCCCAGGCGGTCTCCCATCCAAGTACTAACCAGGCCTGACTCTGCTTAGCTTCTGAGATCAGACAAGATTGGGCGTCTCCAGGGTAGTATGGCCATAGACAATATTGCAGATCTCCTGACAGGTTTAGATTTAATCTTGAATATTAAGAATGCTAGAAACTTAAAAATTTATTCGTGATATGCAATAGGTATAACAGGAAGTGCATATAGGCTAAGAATGTGTAGAAAGCACAATAAGGTGAATCGGAAGTCAAAAGTGTGTGTGAAGTTTGAATATTTGTTGTTAGTGTATTTGTTGTGTAGTTGTTATTGATGTACCGTTCTTTCTTTTTTGTTTGTGCTGTTTTATGTAAACTGTTTTGCAATAAAAATAAAGAAAAATATAGAAAATAAATAAATATAGTGGTACCTCAGGTTACAGATGCTTCAGGTTACAGATGCTTCAGATTACAGACTCCGCTAACCCAGAAATAGTACCTCGGGTTAAGAACTTTGCTTCAGGATGAGAACAGAAATCGTGTGGCGGCAGCGGGAGGTCCCATTAGCTAAAGTGGTACCTCAGGTTAAGAACAGTTTCAGGTTAAGAATGGACCTCTGGAACGAATTAAGTTCTTTACCAGAGGTACCACTGTACTCAAGAAGTGGACCCATATGAAGCCTACTGACTCAGTTGGGCCAGCCCCCTGACAAGTGCCTGTCCCTAAGCCCGCTTGCCATTGGCCAGTCTGGCAGGCAGGCAGAATTCAAACTTCCCAGTCAGTGAGGAGGCCTGCTTAGGCTCCTTGCTGGCCGATAATCCTCCAGATCAGACAACTCCAAGTCAGATAGTGTAGGGTGAGGCAGTTCCGGCACTCCACACTGCCACATTCTGCAGTGGGTAAGTGCGCTTGCATCAGAAAACACACATATGCACACTTTTTATTTCTCTTGAACATCCTCAAATATTTCCCTTGGGCAGGAACCTCACAATTTTCCTTTAGGTGACATTTAGGGGCAATGCTACTCCAAAGCATAGCTGTCAACTTTTCCCTTTTCTTGCGAGGAAACCTATTCGGAATAAGGGGATTTCCCTTTAAAAAAGGGAAACGTTGGCAGCTATGCTCCAAAGCAGATCTCATTTGCTTTCTTGACCACAATGAGAAATCACCCACCAGCCTTGGACCCCAGCACTAAGTGGAAGGAGATGGTGCCCACAGCTGAGCTTTGCTAACTTTCTCATAGCCTCCAACATTTCTCCGACGAAAGTAAGGATGTCCCATTCCATAATGATAATTTTACTATTTATACCCCCCACATCTTACTGGGTTGCCCCAGTCACTCTGGGCAGCTTCCAACACATATAAAACTCATAATAAAAATTAAACCTTTTTAAAAAAACCTTTCCGGTACATGATTGCCTTAAGATGGCTCAGGGGTTGGATAACTCCATAACCTCCCACATTTCTCCAATGAAAATAGGGACATCCTAAGGAAAATGGGATGTGGGTGGCGCTGTGGTCTAAACCACAGAGCCTAGGGCTTGCTGATCAGAAGGTCAGCGGTTCAAATCCCCATGAGGGGGTAAGCTCCCGTTGCTCCGTCCCTGCTCCTGCCAACCTAGCAGTTCGAAAGCACATCAAAGTGCAAGTAGATAAATAGGTACCGCTCCGGTGGGAAGGTAAATGTCATTTCCATGTGCTGCTCTGGTCTGCCAGAAGCGGCTTAGTCATGCTGGCCACATGACCTGGAAGCTGTACGCCAGCTCCCTCGGCCAGTAAAGCGAGATGAGCGCCACAACCCCAGAGTCGTCCGCGACTGGACCTAACGGTCAGGGATCCCTTTACCTTTACCTTTAAGGAAAAGGGGGGCATTCTGGGACCAAATCAGAAACTGGGACGGCTTCTCTAAATCAGGGACGTCCCTGGAAAATAGGTATACTTGGAGAGTCTACTTTCTTAGCTGACAAAAATGTTCAGCACTCTTCAGTAGGTGCACAGAACACCTTAGGCTGAGAAGGTCTGTTTCTGAAAGACCACCAGGGTCTGAACTAAAGCCTTTTCCTTCCACTCAATCCTGGAAGCCTAGGATTTACAAAGATTTTTTTCACACTGTGCACAGCATATGCTCAGCTATGAGCTACACCCAGTGCCAGATTCCTGCTGAGTAGAGCTTAATAATACACACAGAGATATGTGTCTTTGTCACATCGACACTTTATATTTTAGGAATAAAATTTAACCTATATTTAAGGTGCAATGAGCTCAGAGACGTATACTGGGCTGTGTTTGCTGTGCAATCCAATGCCTAAACTGGTTTGAATCCCAGCCTCACACATGAGAGGTCCAAGGCTGTGTATTATGCCACATTCTCAAACCAGGCTTTGATTTTCCAAGAAATGAATACAAGACTCAGGAATGGTTGTTGCTTTCATTTAGTGTTATGCCACACTCCCCATCACAGGCATTTTCTGTTATGCCACCCCAACTAGCTATTTATATATATATATATATATAGATAGATAGATATTTATTAGGGTTTTCACAATATTACAAAATGAAAAGGGGGAAAAAAGAAAAAATTCAAAATAAAAATAGTTAAAAACAATTCAATCTTTCCATCACTTATCTTTCATTTGCTTGTTTCCCGGACCTCCTCATACCTCCCTTTTTTGTATTCCAGTTCAATTTATTAGTTCAGCAAATCCTTTCCCTCTTTGTTTTATCCTGATCTTTAATCTTAATATATTATAGCATTAAATTTTTACCTGTTAAAAATCCATTTTTTCATATTCTTTTATACCATTACAGCTAAAAACCACTTAACTTCAATCCAACATCATTCTAGCATTCATTAATTTTGCAGTATTTCTGTAAATAGTCTTTAAATTTCTTCCAATCTTCTTCCACCGACTCTTCTCCCTGGTCTCGGATTCTGCCAGTCATTTCCACCAATTCCATGTAGTCCATCACCTTCATCTGCCATTCTTCCAGAGTGGGTAGGTCTTGTGTCTTCCATTACTTTGCAATAAGTATTCTTGCTGCTGTTGTGGCATACATAAAGAAAGTTCTATCCTTCTTTAACACCGATTGGCCCAGGAGAAAGGCCTCTGGTTTCTTCAAGAAGGTATATTTAAATACCTTTTTCAATTCATTATAAATCATCTCCCAGAAAGCCTTAATCCTTGAGCACGTCCACCAAAGGTGAAAGAATGTACCTTCAGTTTCTTTACATTTCCAACATTTATTATCGGGCAAATGATAGATTTTTGCTAGCTTGACTGGGGTCATGTACCACCTGTATATCATTTTCATAATATTCTCTCTTAAGGCATTGCATGCCGTAAACTTCATACCTGTGGTCCATAACTGTTCCCAGTCAGCCATCATTATATTATGTCCAACATCTTGTGCCCATTTAATCATAGCAGATTTCACCGTTTCATCCTGAGTATTCCATTTCAACAGCAAGTTATACAACTAGCTATTTTGTGCCCCTGTAAAGGTAAAGTAAAGGGACCCCTGTCCATTAGGTCCAGTCATGGCTGACTCTGGGGTTGTGGTGCTCATCTCTCTTTACTGGCCGAGGGAGTTGACGTTTGTCCACAGACAGTTTTTCTGGGCAGCGGATGAAAAAGCCATTTACCTTCCTGCCGGAGCAGTACCTATTTATCTACTTGCACTTTGACGTGCTTTTGAACTGCTAGGTTGGCAGGATTTGTGCCCCTGGCACTCTCTCAAAATTCAAAATTTTGGCGCCGCTGGTCCAAGAAGTTTAGCAACCTCAGGTGCAAACATGACTGAGCTGAATGGACCAATGGTCTGATTCTGTATAAGTCAGTTCTCTCTGTTCCCCAAAACGGGAGAAACCAAAACTGAGAGCTTCATCCATCCCTAATCCATACACTTATTCTGCTCACCATAATACAAATGCTAGGATAGCATCATTTCTAGCGCTGAGTCACATATGCATACCTGTAACTTGAATTATTTACCTTTTACTTGATGACTGGCAGCTGAATCTCTGAAAGGCTCGATTGTCATGCAATGCATTTTACCCTCACATTGCATCAGATGGTAAGGAAGATCTCTTTGTCTGTGGGGTTGTATCTGTAACGCACATCCCTGCATCTGAAGCTGCAGTCACCCAGGATGGGCATGCATGTATGAAACAGCCCCTAGAGATGGCAGCTGTTGATAGTATCAACTACCGATTTATTCGGCAGGTTGAGAAGACGTTCCTGGACCACCTTTTTCACACTGCCTGAGCCAATAAATAGCACAAGCATTTCGAATCTAGCAGGCTGGAAAAATATCAGCCAGGTGCCATCAGTGTTTACAGAACGCTTTTAATTTGCAGAATGCATTCACCTTCCCTCTAAGTCTGCGGAGGCACAGGTGCACCTCACATCTGCCATAGCAAAAACTGTAATACCCACACATAAAAAATAAAAATAAAAATCAGAGTTTCATCTTGGCATCTGCAACACTGATATCCACTTTTGTGGTACAGCTGGGCCAAAGCTCCTTAGCAAGCTTTGTTTTATTGTAAATAAATAACAGCAGTCAAAAGACACCTTCTTGTTTCATACCAAACACCTGCATTAAATCAACCATCCTTCTACAGTGTAGACAAAGAGACACAATTTAGGGACTGTGCTTTTGAATGGGTTTTATCTTGCTCATAACATGGATTTTTAAAAGACATTCTGTTCAGAAAAGGGCAGCCAAAAATGACCAAGAGGGTGGAGCAATTCCCCCTTTAAACATTTTCAGCCCTGTAGAGGCTGAAGGAGCATGTCCACCCCGATCGTTCTGCCCAGACACTGAGGTCCAGCTCCAAGGGCTTTCTGGCAGTTCCCTCACTGTAAGAAGTGAATTTGCATGGAACCAGACAGAGGGCCTTTTTGGCAGTGGCACCCGCCCTGTGGAACGCCCTCCCATCAGATGTCAAGGAGATAAAGAACTACACAACGTTTAAAAGATGTCTGAAGGCTGTCTTGTATAGGGAAAATTTTATGCTTGACATTTTATTACGATCTTATATGTGTTGGAAGCTGCATAGTGTGGCTGGGACAACCCAGCCAGATAGGCAGAGTAATAATAATAATAATAATAATAATAATAATTGACTTCCCAGCTTACAGACAAGGCAACTAAGATGTGTCATGATCATTGTTGTTTAGTCATTTAGTTGTGTCCGACTCTTCATGACCCCATGGACCAGAGCACGACAGGCACTCCTGTCTTCCACTGCCTCCCGCAGTTTGGTCAAACTCATGCTGGTTGCTTTGAGAACACTATCCAACCATCTTGTCCTCTGTCGTCCCCTTCTCCTTGTGCCCTCAATCTTTCCCAACATCAGGGTCTTTTCCAGGGAGTCTTCTCTTCTCATGAGGTGGCCAAAATATTGGAGCCTCAGCTTCAGGATCTGTCCTTCCAGTGAGCACTCAGGGCTGATTTCCTTAAGAATGGAGAGGTTTGATCTTCTTGCAGTCCATGGGACTCTCAAGAGTCTCCCCCAGCACCATAATTCAAAAGCATCAATTCTTTGGCAATCAACCTTCTTTATGGTCCAACTCTCACTTCCATACATCACTACTGGGACAACCATAGCTTTAACTATACGGACCTTTGTCGGCAAGGTGTCATGATACAGATGTCTAATATTATGCACAGTGTGAAGAAAGGGGGTGAATAAAAGTTTTCCTTCCTGTCTCATAATATTAGAATGCAGGGACATCCTACTTCACAAAGTATATAGTTAAAATATAGAATTTGCTCCCATATCAGGTAGGGATGGTGGTCAACTTGGATAGCTTTAAAAGAGGATAGGCAAATTCGTGGAGAATAAGGCTATCTACCAGTTATTACTGGCTGCAATGGCTGTGTTTCACCTCCTTTAATTCTCTAAATACCAGTTGCTGAGAATTATATGCAGGAAGAGTACATGTGCTCAAGTTGTGCTTGCAAGCTTCCCATGGGCATTGTGAGAAGAAAGTTCTGGAATAGATGGCCCTTTGCCCTGATCCAGCAAGCTCTACTTATTCTCGTAAATATTTTGCTATTCTAATTACTTATGGAATGCTCTCCCCAGAGAAGTTTGCCTAGCACCAGCTTTGTATTCTGGCACCAGACAAACATTTTTCTGTACCACCAGACATTTGAGTGATGGTTTATTTCTTCTTGAGGCGGGGTCAGCTTTGAATACTAACCACATGATAAGCATGCCAGTTGGGAGGTCTTTATACATTGCAATATGTTTTTGGGATATGTTCACCAGAATGGGGTGGTGTTTTGCATTTTTTAACTGTTGAATTGTACACATTTTTGTACTTGGAGATACTTGTAAATCACATAGTAACCACATGCATATACAGTGGTACCTCTGGTTACATACTTAATTCGTTCCGGAGGTCTGTTCTTAACCTGAAACTGTTCTTAACCTGAAGCACCACTTTAGCTAATGGGGCCTCCCGCTGCTGCTGCGCCACCACCCTGCGATTTCTGTTCTCATTCTGAAGCAAGGTTCTTAACCCGAGGTAATATTTCTGGATTAGCGGAGTCTGTAACCTGAAGCATATGTAACCTGAAGCATATGTAACCTGAGGTACCACTGTAAGTCTATGAATAAACTGAGGGTGGAATTCAACGCCACGCTGATTGTATCATTCCAACCTGCCAGATGGAATAAGATCAGCTGGTAGAGCATGAGACTCCTAATCCCAGGGTAATGGATTCGAGCCCCACATTGGGCAAAAGATTTATTCATTGCAGGGGGTTGGACTAGATGACCCTCTTGGTCCCTTGCAACTCTACTCTTCTATGATTCTATATCTCTTCTAGAGGTTTTCCTGAACTCCCTCCCCCCGAGTTAATTGGGGGGCACAGGGAGAGGAGAGGGGAAGCCCCATTGTCCTAGAGGGACTCATTGTAGCACAACTGTTTAGTTGACTCTGGCCCTGATAAATAATAATTAATAGTAAGATTTGCATGTAGAAAGTGCTTTGCAGATGCTGGTGCCGGCATCGACTAATTAGAATTCAACGATTTCATTTTTCAAATGCATTTACCTCCAGCTGTAATGACTTGCTCTTTCTAGGCTGAGTGGCATTACATGTTTGGTGAATTTCCCTCTCAAAGAGAGGCTTAGTAGAACAAATGAGCTGCCTTATCGATGTGGGGAATAGACAAAAGGCTGCATTTATTTTCCTCTTGAATTTGAGATTCGTGTGCCTTCCAAGTTCTTACAAAAAATGAAGATGAAGCCTTTGAAATATAGTGGAAGCTTGGGTTGCGAATGTGATCCGTATGGGAGGCACGTTCGCAACCCACAGTGCCGCATCTGCGCACACGTGGGTTGCGATTCGGCGCTTCTGCACATGCGCAAAGCACGATTTAGTGCTTCTGCGCATGAGCGAGCGCCGAAACCCAGAAGTAACCTGTTCCGGTACTTCTGGGTTTCGGCACATCCGTAACCCGAAAACACGCAACCTGAAGCGTCTGTAACCCGAGGTATGACTGTAGTCCTGGTGTGTGTACACATATGTGAGCTTGAGCTTGTGTTTGTGTGTTGTGGATGTTTTTTTTTCCTCCTCCAAACAGTCAATACTATCACAGGTATCATAACTGTAATGGCCCATACATTCTTAATGAGATGCAATGAAAGCTCTCGCATTTGGGGAGCTATTGTCTTTGGAATGAGGCAGAAATGTGACAAACATATTGCTAATTAGACAAGCAACATCCATCTGAAAGACTTGCAGAGATGCTCCTTTTAAAAATTATGTTGCCGTGAAACAAAACAGCCTGCATTATTAATGGTGACGTGTTAAGAATCTAGGGGATATATGTGTGCAGACTGCGCTCGGTTTCCTTGCGTTATTAAGAGTCAGGGTGGGGGGGAAACCTCCTCCAATCCAATGGAAAGCAGTTAGCAGCAATCTAAATAGCTGAGCCCCAGTGGCTGGTTTCATCCTTTGCACCTTCTTCCTCCAGAGGGGAGTCTGACTGTTTCAGCTGCCAGTTAAGGGATCCATATGGAGAACCAAGACCCGTTTGCCACAATCCTGGAAACCAGCCCAGAAATGCTGCCGTGATCCCAGGGAGTGAAAAATAAAATAAAATAACAACAGCTGATTGCTTCCTCTCATAATTCAGCAACTGTCCTCAGGGTTCGTCTCAACAAACCTGTAAATTGGGATGACTTAGATTTAAGCAGCATTATGCAGTCTGCTCTCTCTCTCTCTCTCTCTCTCTCTCTTTTGCAGAGAAAGGTTGGCCAATCGGTGTCCCGGGGGCTGCATCAGCACCCGCTCCTCTGCCACAAGCAATGTTATGTACGCCCTGTTTCCCTGACAAATTCCTAGGGCACGGCTGGAAAACACATCAGGCTGCTGATGGTTTGGGTCTGCTCAGCGCCGGGATGGGTGAATACCTGGGAACTGAGAAGAAACTGATAATAAAGGAGGGATCTAAACGTATTAAAATAAATAAATGTCAGGTTTTCCCCCTATTACTTTTGGAAAGTACTTAGAGGTTTCTAAGCAATGTATTGGTTTTAAAGCATCTAAGAGGAGAGAGAGTGCAGGATCAAGCCAATGGCCCATCTAGTCCAATGTCCCGTTCTCACAGTGGCCAACTAGATGCTTATAGGAAACCCGCAATCAGGATCCTAGCACAAGATCCCTCTCCCCTCCTGGGGTTTCCAGCAGCTGGTCTTCGGAAGTTTTGCTGCCTCCAACTGTGGATTAGAATATTAGACAAATTCATGGAGGTGGGTGCTGAATCTTGTGGTGGAATCCTTGTTATGTATTCAGTGGTCTGTGTTTGCCTGAGCTTGAGTCTGGACTAAGGATTCTGAGCCCCTGTGTTCTGATTCAATACATGATATCCAATCACAGAACATGTCAGGATTTGGGCCTCTGCCATTGGCCCTTAAACTCTGAGTCATGATTCGCAGCTTGGAAGTTTAGACAGCCAATCACGTTGGGAGTGGGAGTGGCCCAGGCCTTCAGGAATGTATATAAGCAGTTGCTTTGCCCCTGTTGTCTAGTTCTGTTAGTTCAATAAAGGTTCTTGCTGTTATCACAGTTTCTCGTGGGAACCCAGCTACACTTCAGTCCTGCTCTCAGCAGCCTCCCCTTATGTTCTTACACTTATGAGTTGACTTCATTGATACAACCCAATGTCTGTCTGACTCCTAAAATAAGTTTTGCCCATGGTGGTGGTATAACCTGGTGGTGTGTTTCTCCAGGAGCAGATCCACAGGTCATGAGAGTACCAAATTTGATTTCCCTTATTTGTTAAGGCCCTGGTGGGCTACTATTAATAGGCTGTGTTTAGTTGGATGGGTTAAAACTTCTGTAAGCCTATATTTTTGCCTTCACACACATCAATTGTCTCCAGGCTAGAGAAATGGACACGTATTTTCCCCTGGCTTCCCATGCATTATTTACAATGCAGTCTGACTGATTCCATTGACCAGGGATGAGAAATGGTTCATCCATTTCATTGCTAAGTGGGTGATTTCGTTGGACCAGCCTGGAAGCAATTGCCATGACATTTTCAAAATGTTCTACACCTGACTGAGTATCATTTGCCTGCAGGTAAAGAATGCTACCATCTTCAATTAGACCCAATTATCAACTGGCTGATCTCCCTTGTTGCTCAGATGCCAGGCAGAATTTGCTTAGAGAAACTGAGACGATGGAACCATGTCTGAATACGAACCGGGAAAGTCATCTCCAAGAAAGAGAGAAAAAGAAGTTGGAGCAGGAGAAAGCTAACAAACAAGCAAACAAAAACCAACTTCTTTTTTGAGTTTTACCGGAATTGGGTTTCTTTTTTCCTTTACTTCTGGTCTCTCGTAACCTTTTTAAAAATCTTGCATTTCTTCCATCAGGGCACTGAGCAGATCCAGACCTGCTTAGCATCAACATGGAAATTCCGAACATATGGAAACCCTACTCATGTGTCATCAGAACATATCCTTGGGGGGGGGGACCTATAGAGTGCCAAAAATGGGACCCTCCAAGTACCCCATTTTTTCCAGATACATTCCAGAAATTACAACAGCCATGCCAGCTTCTGATTTGATTTTGGAATGTCCCTATTCCCCTCACCAGTGCTTCTGCTGCCAAGCTTAGGCAGGAAGATGAGTAGGTGCTTGTCCTGTAGCTGCAGCTGCGAGGAAGCATCCTGTTACCTCTGCTGTGGAGAGGCCATGGAGAGGCTATATTTTCTGAGAATCCTGCAGAAAAACAATCTCTCAAAGGACCTGTTGTTGGCATTTTACCATTGTACTGCTGAGAGTGTATTAACTTATGGCCTGTGTGCGTGGTTTGGGAGCTGCACGGTCAGGGGGAAAACAATGCTGTCCAGGGTTGTGAAGACTGTGGAGAGAATAATTGGGTGCGCTCATAGAGCAAATCTATGCTTCCAGGTGCCATAAGAAAGCTGCAGAGATAGCGCAGGATAGTGCGCACCCCAGAAATGATCTCTTTCAGCTTCTGCCTTCTGGAAGTAGGTACAAGGTTATAAAGACTGAGAAACAGTTTCTATTCAAATGCAATTCTGGTTTCAAACACAGTGTAAGGTAGTCTTTATTTGGGTATATTGTATTCTATTATGGGGTATCAGAGTTTTTAGGGGCTGACCAGGCTGGGACAGCTGGAATAGCAGGCTTGTGGGTTTTTGAATGTCTGATGTAGATCCCCCCCAAAAAAAATTTTTGTTGTTCTGTATGGGACAATGAAAATAAAGATTATCATATCCATGGCTGCTGCTGCTGCTGGCCTCCTATGTTGTAATAAATTATTATAAGCATAATAAATTGCTGCCAGGAATTTGAAATTTGAAATTGAAATTGAAATTGAAATTGAAATTCATGGATTGCATATTGTTAAAAGAGAATTATATGAACATGATGTATAGGTGGTATACCATACCAGTAAAATTGGCAAAAATGTATAAAACAAAAGAAAAGAACTGTTGGAGATGTAAAGAAGGAGAAGGTACATTTTACCATAACTGGTGGGACTGCAAGATTATTAAAAAAAATATTTGTTGTTGTTTAGTCATTTAGTCGTGTCCGACTCTTCTTGACCCCATGGACCAGAGCATGCCAGGCACTCCTGTCTTCCACTGCCTCCCGCAGTTTGGTCAAACTCATGCTGGTAGCTTCGAGAACACTGTCCAACCATCTCATCCTCTGTCATCCTCTTCTCCTTGTGCCCTCAATCTTTCCCAACATCATGGGTATTTTCCAGGGAGTCTTCTCTTCTCATGAGGTGGCCAAAGTAGTGGAGCCTCAGCTTCACAATCTGTCCTTCCAGTGAGCACTCAAGGCTGATTTCCTTCAGAATGGATAGGTTTGATCTTCTTGCAGTCCATGAGACTTGCAAGAGTCTCCTCCAGCACCAGAATTCAAAAGCATCAATTCTTCGGTGATCAGCCTTCTTCATGGTCCAGCTCTCACTTCCATACATCACTACTGGGAAAACCATAGCTTTAACTATACGGACCTTTGTCGGCAAGGTGTCATGATACAGGTGTCTAATATTATGCACAGTGTGAAGAAAGGGGGTGAAGAAAAGTTTTCCTCCCTGTCTCATAATATTAGAACGCAGGGACATGCTACTTCACAAAGGCTCTGTGGTTTTCTTCTTCTTTGGCTATCACTCATAGCCGAGTAAGATTGTCTTCCATAACACGGTTTTAACAATGAGTCCGTAAATGACTGTGAAGGCCAATTCTG